CGTGCGTGCACGTGTATATATATATGTATATGTATATATATATATATATAAGTCATGTACGTATTTAGAATATGTCAAACGTTTTTCTGAAATCTCAAGAGATCAGTGGAAAACTTTGTAGCCTGTTTAAGACTCGGTAGATCTCTCATTCTCTCGTGTATTTGCCGCCGCCGCCGCCGCCGCCTCTCCCCCTCCCTCCGCCCACCCTTCCCTCGGCCCCTCGCCCCGCTTCTTTCTATCTCCTTCAACTCGGTAAAACGGGATTCTTTCCTTCTCTGGTCTGCCGTTCTCCGTACACTTGTGTGTTGGTGGATTGCTTGGCGTCCATGAAGCCTTTTGCGACGTTGCCATGCGTACGCCAGTGATGCATCGTTGCCGGGCTCTTGCACTGTTCCGTTCCTTTTTGCTCGTTCACACGCTCAGTCCGTCTCTCTCGCACGTTCGTATGTGCGCGGCCAGGATCAACCATATACCCTCCTCCGCCAACGGCCGACATCCCTACCCGTAGTATTCACAGCCCCCCTCTCTCCGCGCCTGCCGCCCCTACTCTTCATTTCTCTACTCTTCCCTCAACCCAACCCTTCTCTTCCCTTCTACCCGGCCGCAAAGGCAGCGAGTTTGCTTGTGCCCGATGCAGTGCCGTACACGTTGCTTTCAACGTGCATGCGCCTACGCCCCTGAAAAGACGAATTTTCGGAGAGGAAATTGACACAGTAAATTGCCGTTATTGCAATATTATTCTCATTTTCAGGATTGAGGTGCAGTTTGGCAACGGATGTCAATAATATCGAAAGGACGGTTTTTTACCTTTTACTGTCGGATTGACGGTAGATAATACAAGATGTGAAATTTGATGGCAATCTGGTTGGTCAGATCGCAGAGATCTGTGTTTCTCTGTTTGAAAATTTCTGTAAAGTTGATTGTATGGGAATTTGGGAAGCTTTTATATGCCTTGTAAAATAAAAAATATATCAGGCGAATATTAAATGTTTATATTGCAAAACATAGATACTTTTGTATATACGTGAAAAAAATTACAATTTATAAATATTATCAAAAATGAACGACTATTATAACTATATATATTTTCTTTTGTTTGGAACTAGAAAAGTGTATCTTTTATTTCGAATCGTTTCGAATTGTATCATTTACATCAAATCATTTTGTGCCAATCAAGTATCAAGTATTTTCATAGAACGTGTTCCGTTTCTTTTTCTTTTTATTAAAAACATTTCAAATAAATGTCAAAGTATCACTTATTTAGTTTGTACAAAATAACGAATTTTAAGTGAAAGTATAGATTAAAGAACGAGCTGCAACAAGAATTAACGAAAGCTTGATTTGAAAATCAAACCAAGTAAATAATGTAATTTGTAGCTAAAAACACACACACACACACACACACACAGAGTAATGTTTCGTGCATGTGAAATTTTGCACAGACGGAAGTGCGTACATACTTACACATCATCCAATTAACACTACCAGTTATCAGACTGATCAAAATGATTTTGATTCGTAGTTTCTCGTGGAATCTTTATTGATTTACAATATATTCTTTGACATTTGAATTGATCGTGTGATTACACGTACGTACATCATACATACATACATACATATATATGTATATATATATGTACATACACGATCAGGGATTCGAATTCGAAAATATACATATGAAACCTCGTTCGTCTCCTCTCCTTCTCTTTGTATTTTGCGATTTCACAGTCAGAAACGTTAAAACTTACCAATTGTAAAATCTCAAAGTTCATACGCCGGATACATATATACATCACCGGATTTCGTTTCTAAACCATCACCTTTAAGTCGCGAAGATCTTTAGGGTTGTATACATGTATGTACGTATCTCTTTTCCCAACATGCCGTTAACGTCTAAAATAAGCCTCTCGCATCTTCCATTAATCTAGCAGGATGAAGAATTCGACCTGTCGCCGTTTGGCCAGGCCGCAATTCAACGGTGTATGACGATGCACGTGAAAATAGCGAGGAAAAGAGGAAAAACGTCGTTTATTGGACGCGATGAGCAGTTCGGGCGCTGAAAGGGCCAGGATAAAACGGTCCTGAGCTAGCGTAGAGCTCCGTCCCCCGCGACGCTACGTCGTCGGTCGGTTCGGTTGCTCGCTCGTTCTCGTTCGTTTTCTCCCCACTTCGCCGCGCAGCGTCCCCGTCCCCTTGCGACCCCACCTGCCCCTCACCCGAAAGCTCTACCCTCACCCCGCCGCATTCAACTGCCCCTCCCCCCGGGCCTCTCTGTGATTCCGCCTTGCCTGCTGCCAGCCAGCCGTCCGTCCTTACGTCCGTCCGTCCACCGTTTGGGATCTATGGTTGTGTCGGTGGATTTCGTGACGTTAACCTGGCGGCCCTGAAAACGTTGGACTGACCGTACGATTTTCGACTTACCCTTATCGTTCGGGTCGCGAATGTAAGACGCGAGTGTGCCGTTTCTTTTTTTGTTCCAATCACCATAGGCCGTCGCAACTGGAGTTACACGCACGGACTAGTTTCGGGTAAGAGGAGTAGAAATGTGTGTGGTGAAACTAACCGATACGTTCTCTCCGGTCGTGTCGAACGCTCCGCGAAGGAGCGTACGAAACTCTTAAAACAACCAGTGTGATCGACGAAAAGAAATGTTGGTGCTGAGGAAAATATTGCTTAAACGTAGTCGCTCAGGTTCTTTTTTTTTTTTCTCTTTCTTTCCTCCTTTCTTTCTTTCTTTTTTTCTTTCGTGCACGTACGCGCGTACATCTATACGCACGCATACACACGCATATACGAACGCCTGTGTGCGCGCGCGCGCGCGTCCCTATCATACACATCT